TGTCTCTCTGGTTATGCTGAAATTTGTCTGGTTTTGCCGGACAAAGGAAGCATACAAAACAACTTCACAGACAATAGGATGTCAACACGACTGGTTAGATGTATGCAAATGCTCATTCTTTGTTTTTTGTGTAGAGCTTTCCACTTTTCTTCTTCATGTTTTGGGAAATTTTGGGAAAACATTACACATTCAGACAGTCTGTTTTAAGAAAACCTATAGGGCTCTTGTTTCCTCCCCATCCCTGGATAAGCTGTGGTTCAAGAAGATACACATTATAATAATGGGGCTGGTGCACACATGCTGATTACTCATGGATGGTCTAATAAATCTTAATGGATAGGAATGTACTGTATACCCCACTAAGAGTAATGGGAGTTAATTACCATATTCATTGCACACTTACTGTGCATTCAACATTAGTTTTCCTCTCTTTCTCTAGCTAATGCAAGAATTTGATAATTAAATTTCAATGGGTAGAAAACAATTGTGTAAAATTGGACATAGTAATTGTGTAAAATTGGACATTTGTGGATGTAGGCAAACTTAAACTATTGGTTTAAATAATGTCACCTGAATCTGTACAAACACTGGCTTATATGTAGCTTTGAAACCAGCGTTCAAAGGACAGAAAAACTCTTTTCAGTATCTAATTGGCTTGTCAAAACCTGCTTTCTGCAAACATAATCTGAAAACTGTGCCACATTTACGGTAACACATTTAAGCCCTTTGAAGTCAATGGGCTTTGGTATTCCTTTGCTGTTGGATTGTGTCTAACATCCTGTAAGATTGCTGAAGTTTACAGCCTGCAGATGAATTTTGTTAGCTAAGTAGGAAAAGGTATTCCTGGATAAAAGATTTATTAATTCCTCGGTGGCTTAACTGGACAATTTGGCAACTTCTTTTAGTATAGCTGATTAATGTAAGCAAATATATCCTACTAACAGTAAAAAATAAATCAGATCACTTAATTTAAATTTAACCACTACAATTGATTGTTTCCTTTTATAAATTTTGTGCTGAGAATTTTCTAGTTTCACAAAAATGCTAGTAAGAGTGGTAAAAGAAACAGCAGCATTTAGTTATATTCTCTAGAACTGTAATTTGGACAGCTCTTTTTTATTGAAATGCGACATTTATGTAATGAAATATTTTAAAATATCTAAGGAATAGTAGACAATTTTGGAAGAATCTACATATTAGCATTTGCACTAAAAAAAACTCTGATGTCACAGTGTATCATTTTAGAGGGCACAGCAGTAATGGGAGAAGGGATTGGTGTAGGCCTTGGTGGAAATTTCCTTTCTTTTCATCTTCCCAGGCCATAGGTACTGCCACATGGAAGCTACTACTTTTAATTTCAATAATTACTTTCTATAGTTGCAAAGGAAAATAATGTTTTCCCTCTTCCATGGAGTGTTATTATTCATACTGTGATCACATTAGTTGGAAAACCCAACTTGAACTTCTTTGGGATAAACCATCCAGAGATCATACCATCTAAACCCAAGTAAAGGTATGCAGTAGGACTGTACAGCCTGCAATACTGAGAGTCCCATGAACTCACAATACACAAAAGAGTGTGCGGGTAAAAAACCAAATCCAAAACAAAACTAGGCTGTTGGTGAGAGAGCTAAAAGAGACAACAAAAACTGGCTCAGTAAGCCCCAGATTTCTTATGGGAACGAGTTAAAATTGTGCAACGGGAAGTGGACTGAATGCTTTATACAGAAATTGTAATGCATCAGTTAGAAGGAAAGCTGTATCAGAAGAGGTTGGGAAGCTTCACAATGTTCAATTTAACAATATTTCTTGTGTCTGTGATTGTTCTGTGTTATCTCACTACTTTCAATGCATTGCTTTTGGAAGGGCATGATGGAAAAAATGACGAGATGAAAAGGATCAATGATATGAAATTTCATGTTTGGAAAAAAAGTTACTTTATCATTAAAGGCATCCTCTGTGATTTGATGGAAGCATTTTCTACTCACAATGTAAGATTACCTGACATTACTGGGGAAATAAACAGCAGAAATTCCAAGTGAGGTGATTCAGCGAAATAGGGGTCAAGAGAATGCAGCTCTTTCTGTGGTTCGCCTTCCATTGTTCATGCTAAAAATACCAGGGCAAATGGCAATACTTCTCAACATCTTAGCATGCAAGGTTCCCTCAAGGAAGATAAAAAGAGTGACCTTTTACTGTTGGGCTAGAAATAGATTACTGAACAGTGTTCCCAGGCAAAGTGATGGCAGCAAAGCTATTAGCAGAACAGAAATCCTTGCCCTAATGGTGTCTGGAAGGAACCTCTTGGGATCCAAACAAAAAGAAGGGCAAAATGGAGTGGTTGTTGGGTTTCAAAGAAAATATGGCTGACAATAAATGAAAAATCAGTTAGAAGAAGTAGGGGAATACATACATATTTAAAGACAACTGCTCTATAAGTATTTTTATAGTTCACTCTTGTAACTGCAAACTCTAATTTCCTTCCTTATGAAATAATCAAAATGCATATTATAAATACAAGGGTTTCCAATTTCCATACAGAAAGAGTACAAGATACTTACATGTAAGTACACTGTCGTCACCTATATTTTTGCATAGTTTTTAGTGTGTACTTTGTGCCACTTAAGCAAAAGCATTACTCAAGTTATTTCTGCTTTATAGCTTGATCTGAATTTTTGAGCAGCTGACTTTTATTTATTTTTTTAAAAAAATCTTGATGTGTTTGTTGTATATTATCAGTTCTAATGAATGAGAAGATAGGATCCTTGGAAGAATTTAGGACAGTTTGGAGAAAAATGTTGCATGACCATGGCAGTTTGGTTTTTTGACTTCATTGGAATTACTGTTTCTCAAAATAGTAAAGGTAAGATTTGTTCCGCCCCCCCTTTTGGTAACACTTTATAATAAGTGGCACTAAATTACACTATAACTGCAATGTCACGTGGAAGCACATGTAACCACACTGTCATGATTAAATACCTGATGTACTTTAGTGTCCATGGTAACTTCAGTGCTTTTACAATGAAAATTATATAAGTTTCTCTCAATTCTTCTCACTGAGAGACTTAGATAGATAGACATCCTACATCATGATGAACATACTCAAAATGTCCACTTGACTTGTTAATTCAGAATTATACGTTTTCTTCTTGTGATCTTTGTATCAGGAATCGTAGTGCAAGATGACTTGTCTTCCAGGAAAGTAAAAAAGGCTGATCTCTACGCATCAGATCATGTATCAGTTTCCTTCAATTGCTTCTTGGATTTGCTAATGACATCTAAGAATGGAAAGATGATGCACCTGAGATGTCATATTATTTTCTTTTAAAAATAAAGGAATGGTGATGAATGCAAAAGAAAATAACAAGTAAAATGGCCAAAACTCAAGACTTGGATCAAATATCCTCAATGAAAACAGTTGTGTTTTCTGTTGTCCTTCAATGCTTCCATGGCACCATTATTTATACCTTTATATATCTTATGTCAATTAAGTGCTTCCTTAGCATGTTAGTACCTCACACCCAGTACATTTATCTAAACCAGGGGTTCTCAAACCAGGACCATATTTACACGAAAGAAGAACTCATCAGTTATTACAACTACAAATGAAGCAAAGTTTGAATGTGTGTATTAGTGTATAGTTCTTTAAATGTATCTCTTTCTTATGACCTAGTAGACTAGCTCAAGGCAAGGTATGTGGCAATGTGGCAAGTTGGTAATAAGAAAGGACTGCACCTTGAAACTTTTGTAATAACAAACCAAACCAGCCATTTCTACCCACACTTTCTCTTGTTGCCTTTGGCCTATTTTTCCCAATCTCTACTGGCTAGAAAGTCACCAAACTAGGTTACAGAACAATTGAGATCTACTTTGGTGTTAATACTTGTAAAGCAGCATCCATAAACATTCAAGGATATTGATGCAAGCCATCATGGCTAGCATTCACAGCTCCATACTGAAGAGCATTTTTGATATGATAAGTGAATTCCATTCATATCAAAATAATATTAAGAAAATGTAATATTATTTATAGTGGAAGCATCCTGGTATAATATTGCTAATACTTACGCTAAAGCCAAAGACAGGGCTGAATCCACCAGAAAGAAATGATTGGAGAAATATCAGAAAAGTAAGGAACATTATATTAAACGTTTGTTTCATTTATGGAATGTATCATTTTGCAGAGGAAGTATTATTCCAAAAGCCCCCCTTTTCTCTTAAAGAGAGTTTGAGAACCTCTGATTTAACTGGGCGAATGCAGGTAACAGAAAGTGGTGATAAGGCCAGAATGCTCCCTTCATTTAACAACTGCCCTTTGGCCTGTTGCAAATAACACCTGGAGGCGCCTTCACATGCCCCTCCCACCCACCCCCACCCACCCCCACGAATTGTCAACAACCCAGCAGAAAATAAAATGTTAACAGTCCAATTCTTATCTACTTTTTTGAAGTTCCATTTTTATGCTACACTGACAAGACACTTTGAAATGGTTACATCTGAAGATGCCCAAATGCCTGAAAATCTCACTTCACAGTGAAGAACAGGTAGATAATGTAAGCAGCATTTCTATAAAAATTAAGCAAAATGGAGTTTTGAAAGAATTCATAAATGAGTAAATACAGCAGTAATGTGCATGTGAATTAGGTAAACAATCCTAATGCAGCAAGGCATTTAAACACGGGTTAAGTGCTTTGCTGGCTTGGACACTTACACAACAAATCGGTTTTTGAAATAGTAGCTACAGCTAACTGCTGTGACAAATACATTTTCCCCCAGTAGTAATAAACTTATTTCCTTTTTGCCAGTTTATTTTTAAACAAATGTATTCCTTGAAAGACATGACTATGTTGTAAACCTATACTAGCTTCAATGTGCCTAGTAGCTGCTACCTGATTCTCTCAAACTACCATACTAGATTATAGCATATTATTGCATTTTTTCCACAGATGATCTGGAGTGAACTGTAAAAACAAGCATGCAATCACATCAATGCAGACGTATTTTTTTAAAATGTCATACTGTATATGATTTATTATGTTAACACTCAACCACATCATATTATTTATGTTCTGTATACTTTGAAAAAGTGCTGCTTGATTGATGGTCTCTCTCTCTTTTTTCTCATAGAAATTAACAAGGTATTTTTTTCCTCAACAAAAACAATTTAAAAACTACTATTGTCCTTAAAAGGTTATACCCTTTTGATAAATAATTTGACACAACACCTTTGATTTCCATTTACTGCGACACATGATGTCATATTCAAATGCTACCCACCCTCCTCCCTCCCCACGCAAAAAATAAATCCCAGGAGATAATCCTTTACAATAGGCCATAATGCTTTTAGACTTCACTAGTAATAGCAACCATATAGAAATAGTCTTTTTTAAAAGGTGCAGTACTTAGAAGAACAATGACAGTCTCTACTGAATTTATTTTTCTGACTTGGGACTGGTAAGTAAAAGCTCATCTGGTGATATTTCATTTCTTTTTTTCTTGAGGAGGAATTTAGCCAATCAACCTTCATTACGTTAGCTTTAGCATCTTGATACTCTTTTTAAAAAAGCTGTCATTTTACCCCACATTTTGAGAATTCTCTCAAACAGAGGTCTTTACTATGGAGCTAAAAGCATGGCAGATATTCTCTATCATTCACCGTGACATAAGTTTGTACCTCACAAAATGCATAGACAGGAATTTAATATAAAGAATTAGTCCATTTACCGCATACACAAAACATAGAGCTTTCTGTTGTAACACTTCATTGTTTGTGTTTTGGCAAATCCAACATTGATAAGCAGCTCTAGAACTGCCAAATAATATATTAAAATTTTAGCAACTTAATCATTAATCATTAATGTGGTTGTAATTTAAAACCTGAGGCTGTGCACTGGTTGTTAGCTTAAAACTACCTTTCCATATAACATTGTGCTTCCATTGTATAACAAAGAAAAATTAACTGGAGCTAGAAAAGTTTGCTGTTGAACAGTGCTAGGACATACAGACAAAAAGTACTAATACATGTTATCTACTCAGAATATTAATTTAAGTCATATCTAAAGGGATATATGGACATTAGAAAATGCTTACTTGTGACTGACTTACCTACAGCCCCAAAAGTTAAATATGTATCAAATAATGTTTAATTGGATTTATTATATTCACTATATACAGATACTAAAATGTCTTGCAGCTGTGCCCCATGAACATGTCCAATTTGAGTAGGCAGGTGAACCCATAAGAAGCAAATAAATTAAAATCAAAACAAAAATTACAGAAATAGACATGGAAGTCTTTATGCTTGTAAAAGCAGTAAAAAAACAGGACAAACGTTTTCAAGATGCAGTTACATAATCCTCATTGGATTCTGTATAAACAGACTGCATGATGTGGTTACCACCCAGACGCTGCTTTAGTACCAAATGTGCAATTAAAATAAAAGTTTTGTTCACACCCCTTTGCTGTCAGTTGAAAACATGTAAGAAATTACACTAGAATGCTTTCAGTTGGTGTTTCTTAGGGCATAATGATTCAAAACTAGGTTGCCTTTGAATTATAGACATATATAAAACATTCTTTGTAAACCTCTAATCTTACTTGTAATGTTTTATGTAAGTACATTGGGGTCCTCACCTAACAACATTTGCTATGAAAATGGTTGGTGCAATACCGGTAAGGACCATATGGTAAAAGAAGACAGAAAATAAGTTGTATATCACTGTTTAAAAAAATGTATAAAAATGAACATGAACTGATGATGATTAAAATTGTTAAGGCTGTATATTCAAGCACTGTATGTTAAGAGAACAATGGATATGGATTATTAGGCAATAAGAAATGTCCTGCATTATGAATGGTACAATAATTAAAGAAAAATGCTGTCCATGGCTGATTGTTGGTATAAACTGGCTACTGAAAGCAATTGTGTGCATTAATAAAGGTAGGAAAAAGATGGGAGAAATTAATTCTGAAAGACGAGAGCCAGTTTTCTCCAGCAGTCAGCCTGGCGAGTAATACTCAAGATCCTAAGTCTGCATCTATATGAAGTATTCTTTCTTCTCTTCTGCATTGACTTGGCTGCCTTCTGCATTGATAATGGCTGTATCCGCATCAGGTGCATCTTCAGCTCCTTTAGCTTCATTTGTTAAATATGTTCCTGCAAAAAACAATGTGATGAAAAGGTTAGGGCTTTGATACCTTTGGTTGCTTTTCAAATGTGGTCCTCTAAGAGAAGACTAATTGGTCTTGGTGAGATGGAATGTAAATGTCATGCCATGTTGAAACATGAACGTTTTACAGGTTGCATATTCTAATTTAGGAAATTAGTAATTGCGATCTATAGTCCCTTGGATCATGAAAAGTACACACCAGTAGCACAGAAAGGGCCTGTTGTATTTTAAGTTGTCATGAATTCATTAACAAGAAGCTTTGGAGGGAAATGCCTTCTAATTATTTTTCTTCCTTTGTGATACAAAGGACAGGCACTTTATCTATTTAATTCAGCCAACTGAATTGCAGCACATCTTACAAATTCAAAATTGTACTTTGAAAATCTTATTGCTTTCAATGGGGAAATGTTAATTGAGTATAACTTCCCAATTGAGATAAAGAGACTAAAGACAAATTTAACACAGGATGAGCTGTGCTCTCCTATAGCTACACCAGATTCGCACTGTGAAATATTTGCTACTTACATTAGGAATATTGCTATAGACTCTAATCTTAAATATTTGTGCCTACCTATCTACATATGCTGATTCTGCAGTTCCTATTATGTTCTATAACTCTAGCACAGCAGTAGGTAATTTGTCATAATTTATTTGCCTGCATCGTAAAGCTAAGATCTATGCTGAAATATATTTATAGTCAGTGATGTTTGAAACAGCCAATTTTCAGCCAATGGAAGAATGTCATTACATGAGTGCTGTTCTCCCCAAGAGAGTTAGAACGTAGGTATGACATTTGGAACTAGAATGCTCAAATGATTTGGATCTTTTCTTGTTAAATTAAAAGAAACATTATTTATTAGTTATAATGAATTAGCCGAGCAAATAACCATTGTGAACCAGGGCCAAGAGCTTTGCCTAGCATGCTGTTTCAAACAGCAGGGGAATCAGGAAACACACTTTAGTAGGTGCTTATTCTAAAGTACATGAACAGATTTCTTAATGGTATAGATGCTGTGCAGCTTTCTGCCTTCCATTATGAGGCTTAGAAACAAGCTAAATAGGCTTCTTCCTTGCCAAAACTAACATGTTGTCACATACCAGAAAGCAATGCAAATGTTGTCGAATGGTTGACCTTTTATAAAGTGTGTGTGTGTTTATATATGTGTGTGTGTAAAAAAGAACAGTCTTAAATAGTTGAATCAATATGTATCAAATATTGTGGAATGAATAATAATTTAGAAATTTAAAAAACCGGCATCCTGTTAGGCAGTTGTAGGCTATATTTTTTGTGATCACATTTATGATTGCCATGCATGTAAATACTGTGATGGACCTGAGCTGTGCTGATGAATTGGTAAGTTCGATGTTGAAGAATGATGCATCTAGCCCATCCCAATTGCAATGTGTTGAATTGTAATACAACCTTGAGTCCCTATTTAGTCTATTGTGCCATGGTTTACCGGGATGAAAGGTTTGACACTGCACAGTATGTCTACTTGTCTTTTAAGGTGAGTTTTAGGGGGATCAGATCTGAGCAGAGTGTAGCTAGGTCATTATAGCTATGAGTCTCTTGCAGCATCTCAACTATAATACATTTCTCAATCTGCATAAAGCCTGGGTTGATTAACTTTTGGTCTTTCATTGGAAAATATCTCTATTGATAAATTTATTGGGCATTGGCTATTGTAATGGAAATGAATTGTATAGCAGGTTCAAATCCGGGGAGAGCGCGGATGAGCTCCCACTGTCAGCTCCAGCTCCCCATGTGGGAACATGAGAGAAGCCTCCCACAAAACATCCAGGCATCCCCTGGGCAACTTCCTTGCAGATGGCCAATTCTTTCATACCAGAAGCGACTTGCAGTTTCTCAAGTTGCTCCTGACACAGGAGGAAAAACTGGCACAATAAATTAAATTTCCTGTAAGAAGTTGAAACTGCAAGGACTTCAAAATACAAGTGGCCAAGATGCTGCACAATTAGATGAGGTGTAACTATATGGTGATAAATCTATCTTGCTGCCATAATACTCCACTACGGTGTGCAATCCACAATGAAGTGCCATTAAAGATGTCCTGTTGAACAAAGGGATGTTTCACTGCATAATGGGGCATCACACAAGGCATCCTATTGCACATCATGGGCTCCACCACACAATGGGGCACCACAAAAGTCATGCAACCAGTGTGTTCTATATATACTGGATGACAAGGCATCCTATGGCATATCACAGGCTCCACCACACAATGGGGCACCCCAAAAGTCATGCAATCAGTGTGTTCTATATATACTGGATGACCAGTCCACAATGGCTCTGTGGGAGGCTAATGCCACCACTCTCCTTACATTGCCATTCTGCAGGGGCAGCTTATCTTGCAAAGTTCCATGCTGTTGTGCCTCACAATCACTTTGAAACAACCACACTGCTCACTGTGCTTGTTCAATGTGCCCAAAGGCATATCTGTGACAGCATTCCTTTGCTGAGAATATGGATTGTTGTGCTATGTTGCAAGCTTAAACCATGCAATTGTCACTTGGTTTACAATTTCATAACAGAATGCCAGCAATATTTTATCAGGTCATCATTTGTATTAAAAATACATGTTTCAGTTTGAGATTAACATTGACTTGCCTCTTGCACATTTTACATAGAATGCTCTTATAACGTGATATTTTTTTTAAAAAAAACAACAAAACCTGTAACTTTCCTGCATAGCTCAATATCCTGGCCTATCTTTTTTTACTGTCTAGTCACTGACTCTCTGCACGACCTTGGGAAATTGCTAGACATTATTTTGGTACAGCTAATCCAACTGTAAAATTGAGTAAAAAATTGGACCTCAAGGGAAAGAAAAAGAATACTCCATTATCTCACGTGAATTCCAAGGAACCAAGAAAAGTGTGTGTGTGAGAGAGTGTGTTTCAGAGTAAAACTAATCGTTAGGAAATATTGCTATCAAACAAGAGTGCACTCCAAATAAATCTAGCCTACCTTTATGTCTTGCCAAATATCGGCCAAGCAGAATAATAGAACATAGTGTGACGAAGACAACTACAGCCACAATCCCTCCTATAACAGCATGATCCGTACCAGTTGGTCCAGGGTAGCCATTGGGGTCTAAGAGAGGGAGAAAAAGATAATATGATACATTATTCGGAAGTTAAAACAATTGTTTGGCTTTACAAAAAAAAGAGGCATATTTTAAATATGCAAAGAAGTTATTCCCTGAGTCCATTCCTTACTATCTTATCATAAATACAGCACTACTTGTAGTCCAAGATTGTTTAATCCCTGAGGATTTCACAGTATAAAAAGTGGGAGGAATCTCTATCAGAAGTTATTACAAGGGAAGGTTTTGTGGTTTTGTCCTCCTCACTTTACAACTGAAAAATCTGGCTGCAACTATTTTTAGAAGCAAAAACAAGGAACTGAGAATTGGGGATCAGATAGAATCAGCAGAATAGTGTCTGCATAATACATTATTTATAGGGCAGATTCTCAGTGGGATCTCATATATATTCTCCTTTTGTCAATCCTATTCTTTTGCACTTGAAATAATAATAATAATAAGAAGAAAGAGTGAGACACAAAGTGTAACTGAGCAAGTTCTTCTGCAGATGGCTGAGTCTGCATGAATTTGGTAAGATAAATGCGCACACATCCTTAAAGAGCATCATTCATTCTCAAGTGCTAGTCTGTGAATCTGATTAATGCTGAAGTGAGTAAATTCAAATGGTTCTCAACAATACATTAGGTCTTTTGTTTTGTCTTCTGTGCTCTGAAATTAGAAACACCACAGGATTTAATAATAACAGTTGTTGTTGTTGTCGTCGTTTTATTTCTTACCCACATCTCCCTACAGCTTGAGGTGGATCACAGCACAGTTTAGAACAAACAAATACAATAAAAATTCTACAAAGACACATTAAAATTCAGCTCCATAAAAGATAGATCAAAGAATTTCTGTAAAATACATATGTTTATGCCTGGATGTTTCCGTAATCAATGTGGCTGCCATACTTTGAGTTAGCTGGAGTTTCCAGACTTGGTACAAAGGTAGGCCAATGTAAAGCACATTGCAGAAGTCCAACCTTGAGATTACCAGTGCCTGCACTACCATCTTAAGGTTCTCCAAATCCAAGAAGAGGTGTAGCTGGCATATCGGCCAAAGCTCATAGTAAACATTGTTGCATCTTCCTGGGCTGACATTTGGAGAGATCGATCCAGGAGCACTCCCAAGCTGCAGACACAGTCTTTCAGTGGGAGTATAACCCTGTCCAGGACTGGTTGACACTAGGCTTGGGTAACCATGGAAAAATTTGGTTCTAAACTCGTTTTGTTTTTAGGGGGCCCTTGCATTTCATTTTTTTTAATAATTCCGAAATTTTCCTTTTAAAAATTTCAAAATATACGAAATTTCGTATAATTACGAATCGATTCGTTAATGGCGGACGCGATTGCGCAATATGCTAAAAAAAAACCTCCAAATGGGACAGGGGGAACTTCTGAAGCTTCCCTCTCCCTCTGTTGTTGACTGTTGGTGTGATAAAACAAACAACAACTATAAAACTTGCACCAGACATGCCAAAATAATTACAAAATAATTACGAAATAATTACAAAATAATTACGAAATAAATGGAAAAAATTTTTCGAATCTAATTTACTCCTCACACTATTCCTGCATGGCTCAATATTGGATCGTAAGCTAATTGAAATACGAATTTATAACGAGTTACGAAATTAACGAACGAAACCGCCCAAGCCTAGTTGACACACCTCCATCCCCCCATCCATTTAAATTCTTTTAACTCTCTTTTAGAGGCCTTCCCTTTGTGAAAAAACAACAGCCAATGAAAATACCATTGGAATGGAGTTGATGGCGTCAGTGTTTCTTAGAGTTAACAGAGTTTTGGATAAATGAAATGGAAACATTCATAATTCAGTATATCAATGAATCAATCGAATGCAGAGGTTTGTCTGGATGGCCCTTTTAGTCTCTTCAAACTCTATGAATCAATAACAAATGAAAGCAGGAAAGGAATTCAATGCTAGTATTTTTCAAAACCTTAAAAATGCTGCAGCTACAAACACACAACCCTTCTGCGAAGATTAACATGTTCTTATTAACATAGGAACACATGCGAATCTCTTAACTGATTCATAAGTAAACATTATGGACATTTCGCTTTCAGGAGATATTTTCACCTATAGTTGGAAATGGCTCTGCTTTATATGAAAAAAAACCCCCAAAAAACAATGGTCATCCAAATTAGCAAGCAGGTTTATGATAAGGAGAAAAACTTCTGCATTTTTTTTTAAAAAAAACATTTTCTAAAAACTGTTGAGGCATGTTATTTAAAAATGCAAAAGAAGGGGGGGGGGTTCTTACATAGCTATAAACCATGGTTGGGCAGCTCCAAGGTAGGAGTCCTGAAACTCAGACCCGATGCCAGTGGCTTCACAGCAGCCCATCAAGTAAGAGACAATCCCTTAGTACTTCCTTTTGTCATGCACATACCATTCCAATATCATGTGAAATCAACTTTATTTTTCCTATCTATTAAAAGTGAAAATAAGTTTGTATGATGTTTGTGGGCATGCAATTTCCAAGACTGCTCCCATATCCAAAGAGCCCTTTGACTGTTGCCAACAACAGATCTGGACCAAAATAATCACACAGACACCCCCCCCCCCTCATGACCAACAGAAAATACTGGAGGGTTTTGGAGGGAATTGACCATGTATGTTGGGAGTTATAGTTCACCCACATCCAGAAAACACTGTGAACCCAACCATCATAGATCTTGATCAAACTTGAGACATGTAATCAACATGACCAACTTAAATTACTGGGGGTGGGAGAGCTTGGAGGGAATTGACCTTGAATGTTGGGAGGTATAGTTTACCTACATGCAGGGAGCATTGTGAACCGAACTGATGATGGATCTGAACCAAACTTGGAACAGATTCCTAACATGTCCAATTTTAAGTACTGGCAAAATTTGGGGGCAAATATAGATGAAGAAGAGAATTGTAGTTTATCCTCGTCCTTACACATTTTCTAGTGGGGCCATTAATAAAATCCAAAATTGAAACAATGAGTTTTTCTAATACACAGAACTATAAAATTCCTAAGCGCGCCTGATGCTTAAGCTAGTCATTCATATATATATATATATATTAGGCCTGGGTAACAACGGAAAAATTTGTTTCTAAAATCGATTCGTTTTTTGGGTTTTTTTGCGTTTCGATATTTAAAAGAATTCTGAAATTTTCCTTAAAAAAGTTCGATATTTACGAAATTTCGTAAATGGTAAAAAAATTACAAAACAATAACGAAACAATAACGAATCGATTCGTTAATGGCGGCCGCGATCGCGCAATACGCTAAAAAAACTTCTGAAGCTTCCCTCTCCCTCTGTTGTTGACTGTTGGTGTGATATTATAATTTTTTTTCACTAATTAAACAAAAAACAACTATAAAACTTGCCCCAGACATGCGGAAATAATAACGAAACGACCTCAAAGCAATAATAAAACGAATACATAACGAAATACGAAGCATTTACGAAACGAATTGAAAAATTCGTTTCGTTTTTAAGTTGCTCCAGAATGGTTCGTTATCGCTTCGTTAACAAAAAAAATAACGAATTTTTAACGAATTACGAATTAACGAAACGAAACCGCCCAGCCCTAATATATATATACACACACACACACACACACACACACACACTTTAAATGATTTTATATTGCAAGGCTGATTTTGAAGAGTCGTTAAACACCTAATCAATATAATGAAGTTTATAAAAGGAAACTCTAAAAATCATAGCTCTCCAGTGCAGCCCATTCTAAGTCTTATTGTTTTCAACTAGGATTATTCCAAGCTAATTGTGTACAGCATTGCAGTGTGAACAAACTAAATTTTAACATAATATAGAAAGCTAGATCATACATATAAACAATATTTTTCATATGAGTGGGTTGTTCAAGGTACATTGCCTTAAAGAAGTGTTCAGACCCTTTGATTTTCCCCATTTTGTTTTGAACTTGAAATGAAACTTATCAGGCTTCTTACCCTCTGTGCACACAAGATAGTCAATATAGTAAACACTCAGTATATATTCATTGTGGTGCAAAAGTTATGTTAAAAAAACATAAACATTGTTAGTCATAAAGTATTTGCCACTTTCTCTATCACACACTTAATAAATTCTGTGGAAATGTCCTGCCTCCAGAAGTGACAGAAGTATCTGAACATTTCCATCAGGGCACCATTTCAATGTCTCATCTCAAATTAAACACACTTATTTCTGAAAGGTCTATCAAAACAAAAATCATCATGAGGACTAAGGAATTGACAAAACAATTGGGTAGTAACATTGTATCACCAAAAACCACTCAGCAGCCCCCCTTCCGCCAGCAAAATAATAAATGTCTGATGGAGAAATGTTAAATGCATTATTACAAAATGGAAAACACAATGGCTCAATTACAATTTTGCCAGTAGACGGTTTAACACCAAAATTCAGTGATCAAGTAAGGAGTGCACTAATCCTAGATGGACTCAAGAGGCTAATAGTAACTCTGAAGGATTGTGCCATGAATCCGCCCTGAGTCCCTTTGGAGGATAGAGCAGAAAATAAATAAAGTTTTATTATATTATTATGAACAGTTTTTGAGAAGAAAGCTGTTGCTAGATTCTGTATCAAATCTCATTTGGTGTTTGTGAAAAGGCATCACTGCAGCTCCAAGTTGTAACATGACATAAAGTGTGCAAGTGGGGTTGAAGACTTCAGCAAGGCAGAAGTTCTCCCAGAATGTACATGATTTTAAAATGTTTTAGGACTTTTTAACCTGCTTTAACTTGGAACATTGTATAAGTATGATTCTAATCTGCTTAGGTGATTTTGTTTTAAAATTTAAATTGCAAACTATTTAAATTCATTTTACTTGCATATTGTCTTGGGATCCTGTGATACAGGACAAGATATCAATCTTGCAATTATTAACCAAGTACATAAAAAGTCTCAATAATGAGAACTAGATTATTAAATATGGTTTTCTGTGGGTGAGGAGATGGCAACTACCGAATGACATCTGGTCTGTATCAGA